TTGTGTAATTATGTTTTGCGGTTTGTGTCTTCGCAGTCACCCGCGTACAGAGCGGCGCTCACGGTGCGCCCTTAAACGGGCTGAGTGATGCGCGTTTCTTCACAAAACGCTGTCTTTTGCCTTCCTCCCCAACACTCCTCCATCTTACGAACGTTTAAATGCAATCAAATGAAAAGAAACTTCCTCATTTAAGTGGTGTTCTGGTTCTGTGTCTGCTGTCACACGCTGTCGTGCTGCCAGCTTACATGTCAGGATGGTACGAAGTTGAATAAAGAGAGCACAGAAAACTTCTTTTACCTCTCAAAAGTTAACAGATAAAATTTAGTTGCTTTGTCTTAGCTTAGTTTTCAAAAGCTTTTGATACGTGATTAGCTTTGTTACCACTCATAGTTTAAGGTAGATTTCCTAGCAATACGTCGTGCATTTGCTGTATGGGGACCTTGATATTAACTGCTTAAAGGAAAATCGTCGTAACAGATGAGAGTAAAGAACCGTTTAAACTATAGAAGGTCAAATTCTGAGCCTAAGCCAATGGTACTACCCGCAATTCCAGCTTTTAACAAATACAATCACTATCATAGAGTGAACAACCTTTCTAAGTTCACTCTTTTGTTTTCCAAATACAGGGCTTGGTGTACACCGTCAGTGCAAAACATGGAATGATTTCTTCAGGTACAAAGTATATTTTGGTTTCTTCTCCACACACTTGCAACATGAGTGAAAAACATTTTCCCCAAAGCGTTCTCATGCAACCGGATTTTCATCCTGCAAACTGGAAAAGGCTGTCTGTAAACAAAGGGAGCTTTGCCTCAAATCTGCATGACTCCCAAGAGTCTGACTTTGAAAACCTCGTTAAGGAGAGACAGCATCAGTCAGAACTCCAGCAGTGGGTTTGTGAAAATGAAGAGCTGACAGGACTATCTTTGGATGAGTTGGAGAAGGACAGCTTAGAAGAAGATAGCTTGGAGGAGATGAGTTTCAAAGAACAAGAAGGAGCTGAGTATGACATAAATCGAAACACAAGCGGAATACAAAAGAGCGATGGTAATGGAAGGTAAGGCATAGGATTTCAGTAGATGAGTAGAATAGTTCTGACACTTTTAAACTTTACGTTCCTCAGAATATACATGACATCTTCAAGACCAATTTACATTGCCAAAGTGCTATTAAGAGCACCTACGGACACTTAGTTACGCAAAAAATGTACTGTTTCATCTTACCCACATTCAAAATTATTATCCTCATTTCTCCAGCATAGCCTAAACTGTTTATTATGTTGGCTGAAATACTAGTGTAGGAGGGTAAGATGGGAAAGAAAACATCCTTCACAGACCTGTGTAGGCTTTCCACATACTGGCTCTAGACACTGCATAGAGAGGCGAACGCTACATGCCTGTTTAGTTACCTCTAAAACAGGCAGGCAAGAAGGTAGGAAATGGTGAACAGATATATGCTAACCCTCACTCTGAAACATTACTGGGTAGGCTAATGGGGAAGCATTTAACTACAATTTCTTCTAGCAAAGGCCTGTTATCCCCTCTTATTCCTGTCTACTTGATCCAGAACTGCAGTCAATGGAAGGAGTCTAATGACTGTAAAGGGCTGTGGACCAGGCACTACAATATTTAGCAATATGTGCTGACTACCACCTCAAATAGGCAACAGCTGCCATGTAACTGTCAGACCTTCAGAGGGTGCAGCAGCTCTGAGATGATGGGCTAGCGAGTTTCTGGAGCTGGGCTGTGAAAAAGGATCAGAGAGAAAACAAGAACCAGTACGAACACATCCTCTTTTCATTCCTTACAGAAAGACCTGTGCTGAGCAAACCAGGCCACTTCCTGCAGAAAAACTTGGAGGCAAAAATTGGTAGGTTGAATAAATGCAGCTTGTCCTCATAGCTGTATAAATATAAAATTAAAATTTTCAGGGATACTGTCACCTTTAAACATTCTTTAAAAAGCATTAACTTGGAACATAAAATAAAATTTAATTTGCTGTCATATGCGTAAAAGGTTTAACACTGTATAGATTGGGAATAATTCTCAAGTTTAAAGGGATTAAATTAAACCTGAAGTAATAATAATGTGCAGTTTCAATTTAATTGTCTACTTAAAATAAAATGGCAAACAAATGAAGGCTAAATGATTAATAGCATGCTTTTATTCACCTCCTCAACAGGCAAAATGGCCAGTTATTGAATATTTTATTGTGAGTGCAAATGATGTTAATTGTGCTAGAAACATGCTCTAATTTTTAGTAATTTTTTTGACTGAATACTATGCTGAATGTGAGGCTCTTCATTAAATGGAAATTTGATTTTATTTTGTTTGAACTTAGCCTAGTAAGTACTCAAATACAGTCCATTAACTGGAGCAAATATCACAGCATGTACATACGAAACCCCCTCTCTACATCCATTACTAACCTCGGAATTTGAAGAGGAAACGCTGCATCTGTTGTCTACATACAACACTTTTGTTGAGGAGTACAGAGTCCATCTAACCTTGATATCAAGTTGGGGGGAGGAATAAAAGGTGCACTTTTTGTCTGCAGATGATTAGAGATGAAGGAGCTCTTCACACTCATTTTGTTCCTGTGCGGTGACCTGGCCTGCAGGATACAATTGAGCTGCTGCGCACACATTTCAGCACAATAGAACTCTTTAGCATTGTACTCTGTTATCTGAATCATTGCAATTATATCACATATTTCTGTACTCATTTCAAAATGCGGTCTCTGTTTACCTGTGGTGCATGACAACTAGGAATAATAATGTTTTCACCGGTGTAAATCATCTAATCTCTAGTATACAGGACACCATGGCACCAATGCTTACCTGAAATGAAAAGCATTGCCAGAGAAACACGTTATTATTAGGAGCCACTTGAAATATAGGCATAGGCATGTAACTAATTTAGAAGGGATGAACAAATTATTTATGGAAATGTTAATGTAATGAACTATGCCACTGTTTGGAGAATCCAGCAGATCAGAATGTTTCTTTTAATTGGGGCTGAAGAGTCAACCAGGTTTCAGTGCCTATAAATGTCACTTTGAAAGGCTCACCATTTGTCAGTGTCCAGGACTATACTGCAGGTCCAGTCAAGAAAAAGAAGTGTTAAAAGCTTTTTTCTCCCGCACTCCTTTCTCCAGCCACTGCCCGCACATCTCCTGGAAGCGAGTTTGTATGTATTTGGCTTCTGCAGTTGGTTTTCCTCCTGTTGGACCAGATCGTAAATCATAAACAGAATCAGCTGTGGGTTTTTTGAGGCAGACCATCAGCCTGTTTTTTAATGAGAAGTTACTTTAAGTCTTTTATAGAGAGTTTGTTACTGAAACATCATGATGTTTCATAGGAATGAGAAGAGAGAATAAAAATGCAGAGCTGTAGGCTGTTCTTGCTCAGACAGTCAGTTCTACCGACATTTGAGAGAGGGATTTTACCAGGAATATCGCTCTTCTTTCACACAGCAGAGTCTCTGAAGAATGAGCAACACATGCTGTCTTTTGTAGGCTACATAATTTTAAAGGAAACAACAGAAGCAGTATGTTATAATAATTTTGCCTTTTAGTTGATTCTACTAGTGCTTATGATTTCTGTGCTAAATTTAGGGTAAAGACTTTATTCTATTGTGATCTGAATGTTAGGCCAATTTATCATTCACTGATAATGAAAACTAAAAATGAAGAGGAGGTTTCGCCTAAATTTTCTGCTTAAAAAATGTTTGATAAAACTGTTCTGATCCCGACCCCACAAATGGCCATACTGTATGCACTGAAGTAATTCACTGAATAAGGCGACCATATTTGCAGGACATTTGTTGGCTCAAATTCCACACTGAAAATATACAGAATTTATACAATTTATACATAAATAATTTTATACTTCTTTTTAAATAGGAAACAGCAGTCTGTGGACAAATACTTCAGCCTAAGGTACAATCCTAATTGGAAGAACACAAGAGAGGCAGCAAAATTTGCCGAGGCAGAAAAAACACGTCAAATTGCTGGAGGAAACAGTGTGGACTTTCCACAAGATTCGTTTTACCTCCATTCCAGTGACTCCCCAGAAGAAAATAATCAACAGAAGGCAAAGTCACAAGATTCATTCTCAGCAGTTGGTACAGAATTACTAAACTTTCATAAACGAAATGCCGTGGTCAGCAATGAGCCTTTTAGGCTCCATACCAAGGGGAAGGCATCTGCAGATGGCTGTCATTTCAAAGGCAGTCCCAGTACATACAGCAAGGCTTTTTCTCTTCGGATTCAACAAGATCAGCCACAAAGAGCAAAAAAAGACTTTGTGGAAAAAAATAAACGGACTTTAGGATTATGTTCAGAGAAGATAAATTCCTATCTTCAATTACACAATAAAAAGCAAGGAGTTCTTCAAAAGCAGGTAGGTAACTTTTACGTGTTTTCTAATTGGTATAAACTGAGGACTGTGTAGTGTTAAAGTTGAATAGCTGCACGATCACGTTTGCAGAGGAGGTAAGCAGATTTACAATCTGTCATGCAACTGATAACTTATGATTTCCAGTGAGAATCTTGTTCACCCCTTATAGAGTAATTCACAAATCTGCAGTTACTCACAACCCCAGTAATGGCCTTGTTGCAAGCACAGTTGAGCTACCTGTGTTCTTGGCCGTGAAGCGTATCTGCATGGTCACAGAGGTGATGTCTCTCTCACTAGTTCATCTTAATGCAAAAGAAATGCTGTCTTCCTTCCTATGGGGTTTGCATCTTATCAGTGGTTCGTTTTTTGCTACAGCTGATTTTTCTTTACTTGGCCAGCATGAATTTAGCAATTATTATCTCTGCTAATAGCATATTCCCAGTTCTGCTCAATGCAGCAAGTGCAAATTGCTTCTAATAGCAGACCATTCACAATTCTTTAACTGCAGCAGGAAACCTCGATGTCACTGTTTGGCGTAAGAAGCTGTATTAGTGTTTTTCCACCCACACTGATCATAACAAAAAAATTGTATGTGAAGTTACAATTGAGTTTAGGAACCAGAAAAAACATTGTGGTCACACTGCTTCCAAGGGCCGTGCACGCTCTGGCTTATTACTGTCGTGTAGACAGTAATATTCCTACACGTGTAGGAATATCCATGAAGTATGTGATAGATCCGGGGGGTCAGACAACTCTGTTCCCCTGCTTGCTTTCTCAGGGAGACCAAACCTTATATTTGAAATCAGTGAGCAGCTACTAGTCATGCACAGTATTTAGATTTGAAGGGCCTAGCTTTCTTATGATTGACTGCAAAATGTCAGGCAACTTGTGCTAAAGATTAAGTGGGAATGTAATTACAATTCCTAATGAACGATTATACATGAGTTTGTTGCTTTTACTTTGTACTTACTATGCATAATGGGAAGGTGGGAATCACTGAATCACTCCACAAGTTGTAGCATAGAAAATTGTTAACTTGCAAAACTACAGAGACTTTCTGCTTCAAGTGACACGTTTTCCAAGGCTAATGAGCGGTTGACACGACACTAGAGGGCATCTGCTGACTACATTACATTGAGTGTAACGGTGGACAAGCTTTTTTCTAGCAGAGCTATTAAGAGCACTTGTTTTTTTCAGTTATAATTTGGTTGATGGTAAAAATAATTGATGTAGATTGATGCTAATTAAAGCCGTGTTGATATGATTATGTTTACTATTTGGGGAATTCTGAAAATGTTTCATATGTAAGTGTTGGAGCCAGGGATCAGGACTTCATTGCGTAGACACTATTCAAAGATATTTAATAGAAAAAAAACAAATCTGTAAAAATCAGGGCTATGTTCTAAGTTTACCTTGCTGAAATAGCCATGGGGACAGCAGAGCTGTGACATAGCAGGAGCCAGGCAGCATGCATGAAGAAAGCTGTGCTTCTTCCTCGACAAGTCGATACAGCCACCACAGCATCAGCACCATCAGCTAGCTGCCTTTGTATTTGCTGTGGATAGGCTAGGAAGAAGTGCTTACCTCTCATGTTCTTAATCGAGGCATCCATTGCTCCATCTTGTTGGAGGGAATGAAAGAAGGCCTGATGGAAGCATCTTGTTGACCAGGGCTGGCTCGTGAGCCAACTTTGGTCACCTCACCTGGAAAACAGTATCAAAAGTGCAAAAACACCAAGCAGGCGAAGAAGCAAACAAGCCACATGTCCTCTGCTGGAGTGATCAAACATGTTCTGCATACTGTTTTTCCCTAAACTGGATAATTTTGAGCTTGGCGGGATGTTGAAGCTGGTTTTATTGATATAATCACTGTTGGCTGTCAGGTACTGTGGTAATGAAATAGTGTTTACATTGAAGTAAGTTTTTTGCATACAGCTATTTTCAACCAACATAACATTAGGTAAAGTATTTGCAGCCTCATTCTTGCAAGATTTACAGCTGTTATCTCTGTGCATACAGACAGCAGGCTGTACGTACCAAAACATACCATAAATGTGTGTTGATCTGTATATTTACTAATTTATATAGCATTTTATAAAGCATCAAGTTCTTTGCAGTGTTGGCTGATTCTTTAAGAACCTGATGATGAGTTTCTTTGAGAGAGAGAGAGAGTAGTAGTGGCCCAATCTAGCTCAGCTGTACTCAATACGAGTTGCTTTCCTACCTACAAGCCCCTTACTTCAAAGCAAGGAACATAATGTACAATTTTTTAATGGCTCTAGACCAAGGCACTCAGACTCTCTGTGCACTGCGCCTTACCTCAGTGTAAACACCTAATCAAGATTGCCTGCGCTTCAACAATAGCAGCCAAATGCAATTCGAGAACCACAAGCCTTTGAAGTCCTCACTGCAAAGGCCGGTTTTCTAGTCTGGGATAATGACATGCCATGATTGCTGTCTTTGTTGTATCTTTTCAGTAGAGAAGCAATTATGGGCCTCAATTTAACAGAATAGGCATTACACAGCTTATGATGCTCAAAATGCAATTTCATTTGATCATTTTCTCAATTTGATTGGTATTAATAGAATAGTTCACAAAAAATGCTGGCAGAGGTTGTGTCCTGTTCCTCTTTCAAAGAGATAATGTAGAAGTATGCTTTACCTGCCCAGTAAACTATCAACATGGTGAGTCAGTTGGTTCCACCAAAAACATCCTACTGACTGCGAAGCTGTGTCTATCCACAGTTCAGGAAACCTGTGTGGTAGCTTTTAATTTGTGAACTTTTCTGGGCACAACTCATAGAACCTACACCCCCATGAGTTCACCTGAAAACTTAGCCATAGACCCTACCTACCTTTTCCTCGTCCTAATCGCTCACCCCTGAAGATGAGCAGCTCAGCTCACCATTATGATTTTCAGCTAATAATTCTCCTGGTCACAAATATCTTCTCAGTGCAAGTTCTCCTGTGTTAGCCAGTGTCACTCTGCAGTGGTGCACAGCTACTTCTACCACAAGAAGGAATTCAGCACATAGTTCGCTGTAGCCTTTTTACTGTGAGACTCCCTGACTGCATGTTTAATTGAGGTCACACCTACTATAGTACTTAGCAGGATGATTTAGGCCAACACAAGTATAAATAAAAACCAAAAAACCCAGTGTTTTGTGTGAAGTTTTATAGATCGGAAAAAAAAATCCGATGCTTTCCAGAAAAATTTTCATTATTGCCATATTTACAACGGTATCTCTTGGCTTTGAAATCTGTGGTGCCAGAAGCTGCCCTCAAAGACTTGCTCAGATTTGATTTCCAGCCACCATGCTACCATGACTGTGGCCACATGAAAATGTTCTCGTTTGTGGGCTTGCTATTTTGCACAAGCTGTTTGAAATCGTTGCCAGACTATGTGTATTAGATGTTTTACTTCTGCAGCTACCCCTTGTACTTTTCTACCAACATTACTGTGTTTTGCCGTCTTTTCCTGCATGACTCTTGTTCTTGTATCCATCAATATCTTGGTACACTGCCTGATTGCTTGACAATGATGATTGCCTAGTTGCTTTTCTGTTATTAGGTACATCCATTGGCTCTCATATGAATGGAGAAGACCAGACATTTGAGAGTTACAAGTAGTTTTCTGTGCTGCATGCTTCCTGCAATTTTCTTCTCTTCTTCTTAAAAGTAGAAGGCATACTCCCTGCTACGACACCACTGTTAATTGTTTTTTTGGTTCCTTTTTCATTTTCTTTTTTAGCTGTTCATTTTAGTGTGATTTATTATATAATGCCTAACTTTAGCATTTTGGCTTTAATAGGAGGCAAATTATTTTTCATTCTTTCCCCAAGACTTTTAAATCATTTCATCTGGTTGGGCTGTGTCCATAAACATTGTTGGTTTTTAGGTTGCAGATCCTAAAACTGTTGATGAGGAACCAGTTCAGAGTGTCCTACCGTTCCAGACCGGGAAAATGAAGCCTGAAGACAGATGGCACCTGAAATCACAGCAGCTCAAGGTTCCTTTTCAATAGAATATGATAATCGAAATATATATGTAAAAGCATTGAAGTTTGAATATTTAAAGCTGCAATCTTGTTACTTTTAAAGTACCAATTACTGACAATAAATCCTTAGATACATATCAGTAGATAATCACCAAAATTTAATGCATATGCTTCTTTTTATTTTGAATTATTTTAAATCAAAATAGATCCCAAATCCCAAGGAATTCTGAGCTCAAAGAATCTTACCTGTTTAGGACACTATTTGGTTGATAATGATGTAAAAGCACAAACTAGTCACATGGTCATGTTTGATGGTTCACGAGAAGCTCAATATGAGCCGGCAATGTGCTCTTGCGGCCCAGAAGGCCAACCGCGTCCTGGGCTGCATCAAGAGGAGCGTGGCCAGCAGGTCGAAGGAGGTGATTCCCCCCCTCTACTCTGCCCTCGTGAGACCTCACTTGGAGTATTGTGTCCAGTTCTGGAGTCCCCAACATAAGAAGGACATGGACCAGTTGGAGAGGGTCCAGAGGAGGGCCACGAAGATGATAAGAGGGCTGGAGCACCTTTCCTATGAGGACAGGCTGAAAGAGTTGGGGCTGTTCAGCCTGGAGAAGAGGAGGCTCCGGGGTGACCTTATAGCGGTCTTCCAGTACCTCAAGGGGCCCTACAAGAAAGATGGGGAGAGGCTGTTCAGGAGGGCCAGTTGTGATAGGACAAGGGGTAACGGTTTTAAAATAGAGGGAGGTAGATTCAGATTGGATATTAGGAAAAAATTTTTTACCATGAGAGTGGTAGAACACTGGAACAGGTTGCCCAGAGAGGTGGTGGATGCTCCATCCCTGGAGACGTTCAAGGCCAGGTTGGACGAGGCCCTGAGCAACCTGATCTAGTTGGAGATATCCCTGTTCCTTGCAGGGGGGTTGGACTAGATGACCTTTGAAGGTCCCTTCCAGCCCTAACCATTCTATGATTCTATGAGGATTCTGAGCAAGAACTTAACTACTGTTGCATTACTTGTCCCCTAAAATCCCTGTGAACATCAAGGGCTTACCATAAAACAGAGAATGTTACAAGTAGAAAAAGTTGCACTGACCTCTTCCCTACGTCTAAGTCTATAGATCTGTTTTATGCTGGCCTTTCAAACCAATGCCATGGGCTAGGCTTTGGAGCTATAGAAGAGGTCAGGTTATCACCACTGATGAGAAAACAAGAACTTCAGAACCGGAACTTCAAGCCAACTGGAATTATTATCAGCAAATCTAGTTGCTACCTTTGTATTGCAAGTATTTGAAATAATTCAGGCAGACTGTTTAAATTCACCGCTGTTCACTTAAGACTGGAACCTGCACTTCTGTAAAGGACAAAAAAGATTTTATGCTGCCATTCATTGTGAGAGATGTGCTTTATATATGGAATTTCAGAATGAAGGAAATATTTTACAGGGGTGCTCATTCCATTTAAATGGGAAAACATTGGCTTGGTCCTAGTTTGGCAGCAATTCATGCTTTCCACCAGTGGCACAGTATGCCAGAACATTAATCATTACAGCAGAGGTCGAGCTAACAAATCATCATCTTGGCACCAGGAGTCAGGATTCCCCAGAGCTAAAGCTTTTGCCAAAACATTCTGCTCTATATGTGGATTTAATACCTACCATTAAGTAGTTATTCTGAGTGCATGTGCTACGTAGTGATTGCAAGTGTTGCTAACAAAAGAACCCTATAGAGACAGGAGGATGAAATGGAGGATTTTAGCACTGACAAAGATTAAACAGACTGAGAATGGATTTGTATATTCCCTAGAAGGAAAGCCATGTCTTTCCTCAAAATGGACCACACCTGATGCTGTAATTGGAAAGTGATAAAACTTAAATAAACTCCAGATTTAGAGTATGTTAGTTTAGCTCAAGACAGTAGTCCTCGTGTGCTTAAATTCTTAGCTTCTTATCATTTGAATAATGTTTTGCAGGATATAGGACAGGGAGAAGTGCTTGGTTTAGAAATGATATCATTTAAGTCATTGGCATCAGTCTGTTTCTACTGTGAACCAGTTAAGAGTGTGTACATCGCCATCTTTTCCTGAAATTTAGTAGTTTACTTGCATTAGAGGATAAAAACCAAGAGCTGATTTGATTTTTGAAATATGTTCCCCAGGTGGTTGACAGTGGGCTAACACTTGTCTAGAGGATTAGAAACAAGTAGTCCTGTGCATTTAAGGGCACTTATTTTTGCACCTCATTCAGATAAATCTCCCTCATCCCATATTTACCACAGCATCATTTCTTAGATGTGGTCTGCATCTGTAAGGAACCATTTTTATGCTGTCCTTCAGAATTTGTCTCAGGCCATTAAGCAAAAATTTGATGCAGTATTATGCATTGTCTTTGTAGCACCCAACTAGCATTTGTGCTTCTGTTCTTGACTAGGTCTTCCTACGTATTTTAATTTTGGATTAAGTCTCACAAATGCCCAAAGAAAGACTGTTTTCTGTACCACACTAGACTTTAGGACACAGATGCTTTTCCTTTTACATTTCACTCTTTGCTAAGAGCTCACTTTTAAAACTAATTTCCATTGCAATACTCATTCAGAACTATAGAACATTGCTACAACCCTTTTCTAGTTGTGAGCGTACATTAAACAGGGTTGGCTGGCTCCATATTTTTAAAGGGCACTCCAGGCTGTTCAGGCCTGTTCAAGGCACCACATCAACACTTGTTCAAAGTTCAGTACCTGCTCAGAACCGAACTTCACTGTAACCTGCACAGCTATTTAAGGGCTGTCTGAAATAAGAACGTTGTCCTGAATTAGAATCATAGAACATGATGTAGTCAAAATGTCAGTTAATCAGTTAACTTGTAGAATTCTAAGGAATAGCTACATGAAAGGCATTGCAACAGGCAGACTTACCCATACACTGGTATATTGCTGATTTTAATGAACATATGAAATAGCAACCACTGAAATTCACCTCACTTTTGGTAACTTGTTTTAGGATCATCAAAATAAGTTGTCCCAGAAAAATAAAAGAAAACCCAACCAGAGTCTCAAAAGGAGAACTTTCCAAAGGAATGATAACCAACAACTGACAGGAATACCAGCAGAACCAAAGTCTTGGCACCACAGGCACAACCAAATACCAGAACTTCAGCCTGGTCCCATGCTGCCAGTGGAGCAAGACAACAGCAGCACACTGCAGAAATGGCTGTATCCAAGTCCTCATCTTGGCCCTGACACTAATACAGCAGCAAATTCAGATACTTACTTGAATAATTTCCCAAATTCAAGACATTTTGTTAATCGGGATTTTACCACATCTACCTGTCTTTTTCGTCCAACATTACATAAATTTAACCCAGCAGAGGTTATATCTCCAGCATATACCAGCAAGGAGAAAAAGAAATATGAGCATGTTTCTCCAAATGGACATCTACATGACCAGCAACATTTATACAACCGTGCCACTGTGCTTTTTGCAAGAGATAACAGTACCAATGGTCAAGCACATCCCAATCAGAGGAATATTTCGTCTGCTTTTAATGCCAATTCTCAAGAATTGATGAAGGAACAAGTACCACTTCAGGATTGCAAAAGACATATTTATGCAGATAAAAGGTATTAGAACTATGCTATCAGTAGCTTATGGGAAGGATATAAATGTTGAAACAGTATTATCATAACACTTTGATGCTCAGAAAAAAAGTAGAAATGGACAAGAAAATGTTTTAAAGTCCAAAGTATAAAATTCTTTTGCTACAAACCTGTCACTATAGACTACTACTAACTTAAGGTTCATTATAACTATTGATTTTTAAATACAGTGTTGGGAAAGGACAGTTGTGTGCTCCAGGCTGTTTTGCACATAGAATTTTCCACAACCGAAAGGCTAGAAGGTGATGTTTAAAAAAATAGATAGCAGAGAGCACTGTGCATAAACTAAGTCTACTGCTAGCTACATATGGCTCATTACACCTGGGGAAGGGCATGAAAATCCTTAGTTTTGTAGACTTTTCACCTGCCTTGATAAAAATGAAGGTTTTATTTCACATAGACAATTAATTCTTTCAGTGCTCTGCAGGCCTGATGCAAAGCCATTTAAAGGCAGATTTCATTGGCTTAAGCTAGCTTTGCATCAGGCCAAAAGTCTCTCCATCTATAATTTTTCCATTTAATTTAAACAGTTTCCATACACGTGGGTGCAATCAGTCATTGTGAAATACTTGTCTTTCCATCTTTGTGTTCCCTGTATATTCTGTGAGCAGGGATTATTCCATGTACAGACTGCTTGTTGAGCTATCTGCTGTATACAAATAAAGATTCTATTTTTTCCCCCTCTTTCTTTTTTGAGGCTTTCTCAATCTTCTTTTCACAGTTTACCAACAGCCCCTTGTGCAACCTTCCAATCAACACAAACAGTGGAGCCACATCACCAAGAAATCACTTGTTTGACAGAAGCTCACTTAGCTGACAGGCACTTGTTCAGCCAACTTCCAGCTGTAATCCCAGAAGGAGGAAGTGGTTCAGAGGTAGATCCAGAGAGGGGTGAAGGAAATCAAGAGAAAATGAGCCAAAGCAACTCAGAAAGATCTCTCATGCAAATGGAAAAGCAAAAACAGCCTAAAGTCAGCAAGAAGGTAAGCAAATAGATGTGGATTGGACAGTTTTACATTTGTTTCCCCTCTGATTAATTTTTTTTTCTTAATAATCCAAAGATCTTCACAGAAAAAAAAAAAAACACCAAACAACTGAGAAATATTTCATTGTCACTGGCACACACTGACTTGCCCAGAGCATTAAAAACCAAGGAACAAAGGTGGAAACATATCCTAAAATCATTTTGGTCTAAAGAGCAAGGCAGTTCACCACCACCTCTCCCTGTGTCACTTTCAGTCTTGATTAGCTCTAAGAACACACAGAGCAGTGTTTGTCCTTGAAGTTATCCGGTGATAAAATGATTTAGAATAAAGCTATTTGTATAAAGCAGCAGGTAGCCAGGCCTCAGATCTGAGCAGACCATTATCCTGGTCATGCTCATTTGCTATCCAACTCAAATCTCTTGGTTTCCAAGGGAATCAAACTGAACAACAACAAACTTAGAGGATTTGTAAAGCTAACGGCATAAACACTATTACAAGTCTCCTGATGATCCCATTTTGGTCCTTATTAAAACTTACTTCTTTCTGTCTTTTCTGTGTGTACAGTTTCATGCTGTAACCCGTTAACGCAGACGCAGTGGAACAGCACAGAGATATCCCTGTGTGTCCATGACAAATTAAATGTTTAAGATGTTAGCTCCAAGCCTCCGGGCAGACAAACTAAGCTGGAATAATTACTCATGTGTTTCATCTAGGAGGCAGTTTGTGTATTGCTGCTTGAATGCCTCTAAGAAGAATTAGCTGGCTTATGATAGTAACTAAAGAGCAGGTTTCCTTCCCTTTCTGTTCCCCTGTGTTCAAACCATTGTTTCTGTCTTGTATTTTCAGTAGCTTTCTCACACTTCATATGCGAGGAATGCCACAGAGAATAAGACTGTTTATGTCTCACAGAGAAATCCAGCTTTTCCTAGTAAATAAATGCAGTCATACTCATCGCATGAAACGAGACAACTCTGATTTTGTTGTAGATAGCTAAATGATTAACTCTCCACAGTACCTTAAGTTAAATGTTAGGTATAAATATAGCACAAAAGAATATGGATAACTGACACAAAGAAACAGCAAATACAAAATTCAGTGCATAGAATTAGTTTCTTTGTAGTTGAGTTTAACTTGAACATGTCTTTTGAAAAAATGCATGTTTTATTTGCATATAGAAATTTCCTGGTGTCTCCGCACTCTGTGATTGAAATAACTACAGAGCTGATCATAATGAGTTTCCACCGACAAGTTTTTAAAATGTAGTCCACTTCTAAAAATTAATCTAGTGTTCTTGAAAGAAATTCAAAAGATTCTGGAAGTACTGGGGTCTTTGTAGCAATGTCATGAAGTATTGAAATGGCACCACCCATCACTCATCTTCTGTCTTCCCTATGCACTTGTACAGCTTTTGCTGTGCTGCAAGGTATGTATTGCAGCATGCATGCTGCAACTGCCTGTGAGCAATTTTCCATTGCAGTTTTGAGAACGAAGGTTACTATTACTTGTAACATTTGCCTATTTTTTTTTTACCACCAAAATCTGGTACTTTCATCTGCTTCTTTTAGAATAGTTTCTTTGGAGTTTCATTCTAATAACAGTCAAATAGGTCACTTCAGGCTGTTTAAAAATAAAGCTCACAAAAGATCATTTTTGACTGAGAAAGTATTGCTTTGTGAGTTGGATGCTTGGCAATTACCCACCTAGATTCAAAGGACATACAGTGTAATTTGACTTGTGCAATTAACTCAATCTTTTCGGTCACTTACAGTCCTTAAAATGAGACATGCCAGAGGTAAGACTGCGACTGCAGGTTGAATCCTGCACTTATCTTGGGTGTCTGCTACAAGACTTGCTTTGATTATGCTCTCCATGAAATCATAGAAAGGAAAATCTGTCACTGCTGTTTGTTTTTCAGCCACGTAGCTCAAAAACCTACATAAACGTGAATGTGAAGCTTGGAGGCCTTGGTCCTGACTATGAAGCAGTCAAAGAGAAAGTAAGCGGTCCCTGTTATGTGATCTGCTTTGCAGTTGTGCAAAGTGAACTTAGGCAGGGAAAAAGGGCAAAGAAATCACTGCTGAGAAGCAACTTAAGTTTGTCCTGGTACTTTGTGTCCTTGACTCTAGGTCTAGCTTGAGATCCTAAGGGGAGATTCAAATAGAAGGAAAGACAACTGTATTGTGGGTAATTTTAACCCTCTAATCCTGTAGTTCCAGAAACAGCGAGTAGTTCACAGAATTCGACAGGGCTAATTGCACATCAGTAAATTATACACTCATGTGACAGAGTTGCATTGTCATTCCCAGAGTAGAAGGTTTGCCTAACCTTCAAAGTGGGAATAAAAGAAGAAGTTGTGTAAACACAATAAGAAAATAGCTGGATTCGCATTACCCTGTTGAAACGGAGACAGATTGTTCAGAACAAGTATCTGAACAATTGTTATCATTTGACCTGTTCTCTGCTGATAATGAGGGTCTGGTAGCAGCATATATCTAAGGTGCTGCAAACTTCATCTTGCATGCTTTGAGACCCTGTTAATCTGGCAACAGGTGCTTTGTATGGCATTCTTTATAGAAGCATTGTAGGACAGCAGGATGGAAAAATGCTAAAAGGTTCATACCTTTGGAGTCATTGAGAAACCCCTGTACTTTCTTCCTCCTTCCCATAAATGAAACAGATTATAGATCTGAAATTGGAATGAACAGAGTGGAGCATAGCCCAGGACTCTGTGCATTTTTAACACCATCATAAAACTTGTGGAATCTGGCATGCCACTGGGATATCATTGCATTGAAAGGAAATAATTGACATTGACTGATAACAGGGGCAAGGTAGAGCATACTGCTGAATTTGAGCATAATGAATTGCTGAAAATAGAAAGACACAGAATATCAGTTAAGTAAATGAAGCATGTCATTCACAGCCTTAAATGTAAGTACAGAGGTTTTAAAAGTCGTTGCAAAAGCTGACAGAAATTAGCACAGCCGTTTTAGAACTGAACAGATACACTGAAATATTCAGAATAAAGATGCATTTGTCGGATGTCTGTTGAGCTCTATCCTTGATACAGTCCAAGAAAAAGCTCTTAAAAATGAAGAGTGACTGAAAAAGCTGTGCCATTTATCAGGATTTCCTGTTGTGTTCTGCTGAGGAATGATCAATAGCATCGCCAGGTTAAACAGCAACAGAGGTGTAAATGGAAGACTCCAGAGGAAAAAGTGTTTCATTGATGGACCCACTGAGACATTTAATTAACCATACACTTTTTTGCTTTCGTCAGAAAGAGAAGTTAAGGCAACAAAAAGAATATGCAAAGAAAGTTAAGGAACACAATATGAAAAGTGTTGCTTCAGTTCAGAGGTTACCTACAAAGCCCCAGGTCCAATCTTCAGTTTCAAGACAGAAGGTAAGAACAGAGTCCCTTTAAATGCATGCAGGGCAGGATTCTAGGCTTTGCACAAAGTAAAGGAAAAGCATAAATTTAACTCACAGTAGACTAAAATAGTTTATCCGTTTTGATTTTCCCTTTAACAGCTCTAAGGACTTCTACTCTCATGGCATCCTGGCAAGTCCTCATCTGTGATCTATTCTGTTATGGCTGTAGATGTATGCCACGGGTTGCTCATTTCTTTGCCAACAGCAGGTCTTCAGCCCATGCATCTGCCTTGCTCTTCATGAGAGTGTACCGAGTGGAAACAGAGCAGTACTCATCCAAGCTACCAGCACTCAACTTGGCTTAAACAGCTAGTGCTGTTTTCCTGGGGAAAGGGTGGGAATAAAGGAGAGTGAGACCCCCCCTAGGAGCGTTAGCCAGTGCAGCTCATGCTCTGCTTCACATCAGCAGTAGAGGCCACACTACTGCAGAGTGCACTCTTCTAATGGACCACAGATATCCTCCTCTTAGTCTATTATCCACCTGCCTGTCAGTCTCACTCACAAACTCTTTTCACTTCAGTTGCATAGCTACAGTAATTGGTCTTATTTTTCAAGCCAATACAACATCTCTTTAGCCTTCACTTGCCTTCAAAAATAGCCCAAACGAGCAATGACTGACTACATGATGGTGGCATACATAAACAAGCACCTTTTCCCTATTGCAGGAAGTAATAAAGCTCTGGAAACAGCATACATTTTTTCCAATCAGCTCTGCAGGAGCTCACCTGCCTGGTGTTGAAAGCACGCTAACAGGTATTTCCCCAAGGTGACGAATGAGAACTGCATGCTTCAGGAAAAAAAGTTTTGAAGTTTAATATCAGTTTAATTCCTCAGTTACTTGCATTTATTTCCAAACCTCACATAAACTACAAAGAGATGAAACTGCATTCTTTGGATATCAAAAGGGCTTTGGATTCAAGACATCAATTCCTTAGAATTTGTCATAGGAGCACTCAGTTTCCATCCTTGTCATATTAACCTGCAGAACTCCCTGCTATAAGATATGACTGAGGACAAGAGCTTAATGAAACTAGGGGAAAAAAAACCCAACAAACAACAAAACAAAAACCAAACACCTTTATAAACTTAATAGACTCATGTTGCTTTTTCTTTTTTAAAGAAAAAACACTGCTTCAGTATTGAAGGTGGCCTCCAGTGATAAATGTCAGAAAGCAGATCTCCTTGAGGTGGGTTATTTTGCCCACTGCAGAGCTTTCTTGCAGTCGCCACTGAAGCACCTGGTATTGAACACTCTCAGAAACAAGATCAGAAATTAGGAGAACTATTAAGTTGACTCAACATAGAAACACCTACGTTTTCTTGGAATTATTGGTCAGGTTTTCTTTTAACATTACCCAAATTTTCATGTTTTCAGGCACTGGAATATGCTAAGAAGATTCCTAGACCAAAGATTTACACAGCAAGACAATCAGAGGAAGAGGCAAAAGAGAAAAAAGTTCTGCCACAGACTTTAAATGGTGACCATTTACCTCAAATTGCATCCTTGGAAGCTTTGCAAAGTAGGCATGAGAAGGAGAAGCAAGTTGTAGCTGCTTTCAAAACCCTTCATATCTTACAAGTGTAAGTGTTATCATTTTTAGACATGTCAAAAATATGGGCATATCTACAAAACATGAAAAATAGACATCAGTTTCATTTGATGATCTTAATACCAGCAATGTTCCTCTTTTTGAAGTGCAGAGGAGACTTTGGCAGACTGTCCAGAAATAAAACTAAAAATAATCTATTACTAGTAAGAAAGAGAACAAAAATGCGCGCCCAACGTAGCAGTTGGTAATGATACAATACTAATTATTCAAATGCCACTCTGTTATCTGTTAGTGAATAGTTGTCGTGTGAAGACGAAAATTTTGAAGCTTCATCTAGGACAAGAAAATTCAAAACAAGTACTGGCTGATCATGCAGACAATCTGTTATTAGCCAGAAGCAGTTGGAAAATATATTGAGTAACTAAGCATAATTGAGAGCTACATGTTTGAGAGGAAACAGCTTTTAACACATTAAATCTATAAAAATAATAACAAACAGATGGGTTTCTTATGATGGTTCTGTTTCTCTGACTTTGTAGATTATGAATTAAGTCAACATATGAAATGGGATTAGAACACACAGCGAGGGAATTTTGAAGAAAGCACACTAAAATCTCTTAGAAAATAAAAGGAAAAAAAGACAACCAACCACCTTGTTGTTGGTTATGTGTAATTGCTTTATCCAATTTATTAGGTCCCCTTTTGTATGGGAGGAGAGAGAATTAGTCTTTGGGCAAAAAAAAGGGTTCGAGTCTCCTTGAAGGAGGCTAACAATGGAAAGGTACGGTGGGGAATAAAAGAGAGAATATCTTTGAAATGGCTTTCTCTTTTTCTAGATGCACCTTTTTTTAAAGCTGAAGACAGAAATGTGTAAGACTTAACACGTTTCTGCATTAACATTTCATTGGCTGAGTGTCTCACAGGAAAGATAATTTTCCAGTAGGTGTACAGTGAAGTCAAGGCATCGGAGGTATGACATATATTGCTGGAAAAGTCCTATACCTTTCATTTTACAGAGTCCTGGGTGAGTTTGACTTAGATCCTACAGTCCTCAGGATGCCTCAGTCCTCCTGAAAGTGGTTTAGCTGCTGAAATACACCCTGTAGGATCCCCAGCCTAGTATGGGGAAAACTGATCATCGTACTGCATCTCTCCATCATGGAAAAAGGACATGTTCCTTTCTCTAAAGCCCTCCTGACCCACCTGGGAGATAGGAAGCTTTCCGCCCTGTCGGTTGCTTCCTTCTGCAGGAGATGAATTAGATTGTTAGACTCCACAGCCGCACACAATCTTTGGGGGAAACCTGGTGGAAGAAGTGTCTTCCAATGTGGAGAACATGGGTCAGGTTGCAGGTGAAATGTTTTGCGTATTAAAATGCAACAGAGGACATCTTCTAATGTCCACCACAACTTCTGGAACAGGACCGCCCTCTGCCTCAGCCTCCTTTCTCCTCACCTTTGGGAACTGTGTTTGCCCGCTCTTTGTAGAATGTGCATGCCTGTGGTTTGGTCCATCAAGCTAGGCTGGGTAAATGTTTCCATGCTCTGCCAGTTGCTGCTTTTCTGCTTTTATTTTTAAACGGAATGGTAACACTTAGAAGCATTTCTCTGATTAGGGAACCTCAACTTGTTGTTTCTGCTTAAAAGTGATAATCCCCCCTTAATACAAATCTCAAGTACCTATTTTAATGAAACCTTCAGATGAATATCAAAGAGCTATTTACTCGTATCTAATATTTTAATTAGATTATATTCTCAATTTAACCCATTAAACCCCCTTTGATGATCTCCATGTTTAGTGTTTAGCCCCAGATGCTGGAGGTAATGAATATTGGACCTTTGATTTAATGAGAACTTCTGCCTTTCCAGCCTGACTCCCTTTGTATCCCCCTTTTTTTATTTTCTGAGCTATAGAATTCAGTTAATTGAAGAAGTCTCTTACCACCACACATTAAGGAACCTAAATTAGCATCCCTTTTCTGATTAGAAAATGCAAGCAGACATTTTCTCTTTGATCTGAGGATTGAGTTGAAGTAGGCAACAGCCCCCTGAAAATGAGCTGATGGCCTTATTATTTGGCTGACATGCAGATGCGTCCATGTGGTGCAAAATGCTTAATGTCTTAATTGACCACCTTCCTCCCTATCTGTCATCCTACTACCTTTTAGAGCTCCCATAAATTAGGGTGATCTGTCTGGGTAGGTGGTGTGTTTCATTTGCTTTTATTTTTAATAAAACTATGACCTTTTAGGAAACATTTAAATACTAAACCCATGCTAAACTAGAAGCCATGTATACTTGTATGATGCTGCATCTGGAGGGGGATAGGGTTTTTTAAAAAACACTGATCGTGATCATCTCACAAACCATTTGGAAAGGACCGGGGTATTTTTTTTCCTCCCAGAAAAAGACATTATTTGCAGCGCATGTGGTAAGAAAATCTTTTGATCTACCTCAATACTAATGCAAATTTTTCCTGCACCTAACAGATAACGATGGCACAAAAAGGGACCATACAAGTAAATGATGAGCATCCATCTGCTTAAAAGCAAAGGCCAAAATTTAATGTCTTTCGAATTAGGAAGGCAAGGAATTTAAATAAGAAATGGGCCTTGGATTTTGCATTAAGTATTCAAGGAGAGATTGAGCTTGAGAAGGACCTACCTGCCATAGTCCCATGGCTCCAGCACAGCTATTGCAGAGTGCAGTGGTGCTGACTGTGAGCATGGCCTGCCTTCATGGGGCCAGAAATGTATTTGTGTACACCACCCAATAGATCTTCTCAACATTCACTTGGTGAGCCCTTTCTAGTGCCACCATTTCGTAATATTTTAGATTCTGGAAGTGTAGAAGCTGAGGCCACCTTCAGTGGTCAAAGACCCAGAGTCAGTTCTACTTAGGAGCAATGCTGCTGCAGAAACATCACGTTTCTTTCGAAGACAACTGAAGTTGGCTTCTCACTACTGTCTCACAAAAGGTATGAACAGCTGGCTCGTAGGCTGTGACCAAAACACACTGGTTTATCGCTTAAAAACATTAAATAAGGCAAAGCCTAAAAGCTATGTTCCATCATTACATCTTTAAAGATAAACTGTCAAAGATGAGGACTGTAAACCAGGTGAGATTACGTCTAACTCCTGCAGTCACTGAATACTTCAAGTAGGCATGAACAAGCTATAATGTCCAAACAGCTCACAAGCCAAGCATTTGGTCTTTATTATCTCCTCTTAGGGATCAGTTCTACAGTAAATTATAATAGCACAAAGAATATCCTTTTTTATTATTATTTTGCATGTTGCCCAAACCTAAGTGCTCTCTGCATGAGAATAAGAAGTGAAAAAGGACCAACTCTAGTGACTGCCTGCATGGTACGAGAAAGAGCTCTAGATGCACAAAATCGCGGTTATAGGTAAGGGCAGTAAACGTGAATCTCCACTGGTGACAGCTGGCAGGGGTGAGTTAAAGCTTTACAGAAGAGCCTGCTTTGAACAGAAGTGATACTGAGCCAAAAACCTGGACAGAGCAGATGCTAAAGAAGCATCCAGCAGCTCAGCAAGAGCTTTGCATAATCGTGAGTGCAGAGCAGGCAGCTGCAGGTAATACCACAGGGCTAGTTTCCTGCGTGTCACAGCAGCACTTAAGGGTTTGTTCCAGCAGCCACAGCAAAGCCAACAAGATACACAACACCAGAGAATACTGAGTCTCTACTTCAGGAAATCGAGTTGAGTGGTCTCAGCGACAGCTGAACAAAGTGAGACACAGAATTCGGTGAGCTTGCCTTTGCTCCTGGCACTTCAGAAACCTGTATCATAGAGTTACCTCATTATCATGAGATAAAACCAACTTTTGTACCCTAACAGATAGAAAAGGCACTGCAGTCGACTGTGGGATCATCCTTTCTTCTCTGAAGCATACACTTTACACCCACCTGCCTGTATCACCAGGTGCAATGTATTGCTACTGCTGCATGGATACTGACTATGTAGCTGTAGCCATCCTGAGGCACTTCTAGCAATGGAGCTAGGAGTGTGCCATCTAAGCTTATTATGCTATAGAAACAAGATAAATCCAAGACAGAAATAAGCGACTTTTTAAGCCGAGGAAGGCCATCTGAGCAGGAGTTTGCAGTTAATTAAGGTGATGCTGTTTGTTACTGTCACTAGAAGAGAGGAAGAATAAAGTCATCAGTTCAGGAGGCTACAACACTCAGTTCACAGCGCTGGAGTCAGCATCCCACCTACATTCACCTTCCCCTTCTCTGCTCCTCAGCACGGCCCACACCTGCAGAAACTTCACTTCAGAAAACCAATGGAGAGAAATGCACTCGGTCCATCAGCCAACAGTGAGAAACAATGAGAGGAAGTTGTAGAAAGAGTTTTACATCGCGCACGCAATGCCTGGATCACTTGCTGGGCCTGGCCGTAGGTTATTTGCATGTTCACCAAGCGACAGCCCATGGTATTTTCAGGGCTGATACCACACATCTGCTTAACAGCAAGATTTTGTGAATTATTTGCTCGATAACTGCCCACACAGCCTGCATATCTGATCTGCTTTTACATAGTTCTGTCCATAGTAGGAAAAAACTTGGGTTGGAACTGCTTTCCAGTCCCAGAAACGTTAAAAATGTTAAGGGCAGCAGACAGGAAAACGCTCAAAGTCAAAACGGTTAATGGGAGGATTTTATAGACCAATTTTTCTTACTTTCTTTAATGAAAACAACAAACATTAACCACTTAGGTGTAAATTAAATTAACAGGAAACAATTTCTTTTCAAACAATATGCAGAAGAATTTTAGTGAAAATCAAGACTTCAGTGGATATCTTGAAAAATAGGAAATCCAGCAAGATTTCCTATTTCCTACAGTTATTTCCCACAAACCATTTCCACCCTAGCATTTCCCAAACAAACATGTAAATATTTTTTTTAAAAAGAGAGAGAAAGAGAGAGAGAGAGAGACAGCTCTAAATAATCTCTCCCCTACTCCTCAAGCTTCTTGGGGAAAGCAATGAAGAGAGAGCAGGAAGAAGT